TTGACTAAATATAAGTATAACAAAACATTAAAATTTAAATTATGAAAATGCAATAAGAAATTTTATCCAATAAACTATAAAATATTTTAATATTTTAAATATCTTAAAATTATTTGATCGTTTTCTTCTTCAAAATGAAAGAATGTTTTCTTAGATCTTTTATAAATTTAGAAGTAAATTATTATTTTTATTGCCATAACATTTATTTTCTAATATTGAAACATTAACAATGTACTTAAAATTTTTTTATTTATTTAGTTATATTCTGAATTTCTCTTTAACAACCACAATATCAAGAAATCTTTTATTTATCAAACTTTTTAAACTTCTCAATGTGGAAAGTTTTGTTAAATATTATATATATATATATATATATATATCTGGATGAAGTCTAAAACACTTTGCCCTCCCCCAAAAAAGAAACTAAAAGAATCTTACTATCTATTATTACGTAGATTCATAAGAGAAAGATAAAAATTAATGAATTAGTGATAATACTTTTCAATTTGATAAAATTTAATATTAAATTATGAATCATGAGTTTTCATTAAAAAATTATTTTTTTAATACCATACCCATTAAAAAAATTATTTTTTTAATGGGTATGGTATTGTAATAAAATACTTATAGAATATTATCAAAAATAAAAATTAATACAATCTTCGCAGAAAGTATTTAAATAGTAAAGTTAACTGTATCCTTTAAATATTAAAGTTATCTCAAAATTAATTTTATGATTAACTTGATAATGCGCTTTAAAAACATAATGCATAATTTATTCAATCAATTAAAACAAAAAAATTATTTTCTGAATATAAAATACAGTCGTCCCCCTATAACACTGTTGATAATGCCGTTTTATATGAATTCCATGTTGTACGAGTCACTTAGATTTTACAAATACGTGAGCCGTTCACAACCAGGCACACGTATTTGTAAAATCTAAGTGACTNTACAAAACTATTTCATCCCAAATACTGTTTCTCACTATACTAAATCAAGTAAAATTGTATAGCACACTTTATGTAGTGTTAAAGTAATTAATTATTTAAAAAATAGTTTATCTTTATCTGAATTAAATTTCTATGGCAATTTAAATGCATCAGAGGATGAGCTATGGTTTTTCTAATTTTATTGTCATACATATGTGATAAAATAAAACAGTAAAATGCAATTTTATTTACTTATTTTACCATTACCTATTGTATTAAACAGATATGTGTGACAATGTCTTAGAGCCTCCGTATACTTTGGCACCACGGGACCGAAGAGTCGACATCGCGTCGGCGAAGATAGCAATGACAAGGTTCGTCAGAACAGACACCACTGTGTCTTTTCAGACAGACACAGAAATGTTCTCACGCGAACGATCGCGTGTGTGAGCGAACGGATTCGGGATGGAGGGAGAGACAACACACCGGAAGTGACTTACTCAGAGACGGGTTAACGTAACAACGGTTTAATAGGTAACAAAGGGATAATGCAGGACATACGATATATCGAGAGAGAGAGTTTACAGTAGTTGCGCGTGGCGATAAATACCTTGTATGAAACCTTGATCTGTTGCAAGCCAGTTGGACAGAAAGGAAGACAGTTCTGGACGACAGTTCTTATTCCCACAGTTCTGAGTTAGCTAGATATTATGCGAGGAGGTATCCAAAAGAGCACAGGTTATACGTAACACAGGGAAAAATAATTCGAGTGGTCCGATCGAGGAACCGGTGACGACTCCCCAACTGTGTTGTCTTGTTCTATATTTTGAACTGTTGAAATCGAGATATTAGATCGAGAGGTGATGAGAAAGCGTCGTTACTAGGTCTGAGAACTTAACAAATGTTTTGCTTCTGGGTGTAAAGGTTGACAGTTATTTAACGAAAGTATAGCTTCAATGTGATGTTAGGAGATAATGATATAAACATATTGAAAGTCTGGATAAGGATCCTCACATATGCTATACTCAGAACATTATGTACAAAATTTTCATTCACAATATGTAGCAATATAATAGTTTTAAACAGATCTCTATTTAAAACCTGGATAAATTAAATCAAAAATATAATTATTTTCGATTTATCCACATCCTCATTTGTAATTATAAATTACCATTTTATCAATTTTTTTATAAACCAAATATACTTTTTCTTTCTTTATACACGATATAAAATTAAAAAATGTAATTACGAATAAGATTTTTTGATAGAAGAGTAGAAAAAAAGTTTCAAAAATTCTTGAAAATGGAAAACTACCTCAGTAGCGTAGCGTAGTGGGGACGGCAGGGGCGGCACATTTTAGGGCGCGGAAAAATTACGTTTTAGGGAGCGGCAAAATTTCACAATAAATAATAATAATATCTTGTAAGAATTTAAACCAATTTATTTCATATTTTCGTCCACCTACGACTCGGACCGATTGAAATGAGCACGGAATAGTGTTACCATTCACCCGGATAGTCCGGGAATCGACTCGCCGTCCGGGGATATCGTACGCGCCCTGTTGCCTTTTTTTTGCTTGTACGATTTATTCCTCCACATAGTATCGCAAGTGACCTAGCTGTATTGGACACCTCTAGTATCCAATACAGCTAGGTCACTTGCGGTACTCCTATCCAAGTGTCTCTAGTCGCTAACTGTAACTGATTTAGAACCAGCATGCACTGCACATTATTCTTCATTGCAAAATGACATACGCATGAGTCAGGAACTTCTATTCGAACAAACCTCACCTGCCGTCCGGGTCAGCGATTTTAATAAGGTGGCAACACTAACACTAAGCCCGGAATTTTTCATTACTTATTCTGTGACGAAACTGAATTTTAGTCTTTTAAATTGAGATACCTAAATAAGGGGGCGGAGAAATTTTCCTCCGCCCCGGGCGGCTGACACCCACGCTACGCCACTGAACTACCTACTAACCAAATAGATAAACAAACTTCTCGTCTAACAGCGACTCTCACTCCTGCTATCGGCAACCTGACACATTAACTCTACTTAAGAGCATAGTTTAAGGACCATTATATCTATCGACTCTGGTGTAAAAGAGGAGACATTTTAGTTGCTAAATCGCCATTTTCCCGAGGCTGCACTATTTTTACTTTTTGTATATTCTGTACTTTTAAAATTTTACCAAATAACCGGGACAAAATGACAAACTGGCCGGGACGCATAAACCGCATCATCAAATCAGGACAGTCCCGGTCAAAGCGGGACGCGTGATAAGCCTAACTAATAGGACTTAAGTCTTGGGCCCCCAGTTTTTGTTAATTTTTCCCGAACGACCGAGTGTCACGTCACGTTCGAGAGACAAGTCCGTGGGTCACGTCTTGGTAAAAGACATTCGGACTTGACACCTTTTCCCGGACGGTCACGTCCGGGAAAAGATGTCAAGTCCGAACGTCTTTTCCCAAGGAAGACTTTTCTCAAGTCCGAACGTCTTTTCCCAAGGTGTCAAGTCCGGGTGAAAAGTGTCTAATCCGGTAAGAATGTCGCATCCGGGCGAAGAGGAGGAAAATCGAAGAGGATCACCGCCTAGGCCAAGGGAACCACAACCGTCCGCAGCAACAAAACCACAGATACCACGGTCCCTCGACTTCGGCGGCTCTCTCCTACCATTCCTCCCCGTTCCGACTTCCGCAAGGCAGTGGCGTCGCCTCGCGGACGAACAGGCAGAACACTACCGAACGGAAAGAGTCAACTCGGACGAGCCGTCACTTTCTACATCCTGCGCAGCAAGACTGTGGCCATATGACCTCCGAAGTGGCCGGATGACCCCCGAAGACCTTGGCCAAGTGCGTCAGATCCAGTGTAGCGTCGCATAATCCCGACTCCGAGAGGATGCCACGCCACGCGCACTTGGGAAAGGTCATCTTCGCCCGCTGCCTCTCGCTTGTCCATCCCACGCTCCTCCAACGTCTCTTCGGGCGCGGTAGGAGTCCAACAAAGTCGTTCCGCGCCGTCCGAGAAACCCCCCCTCCGGCGCAACGGCCTTCCTCCACCGGAACAGCCGCCAAAACCGCACCAACCTCTTCATTCTGTAAAGAAAGAAAATTTGCAATTAGTCGAGTGAAAACAAAAGTTTAAATTAATAAAGCCAAAAGCTTAAAGAGAAAGACAAAATGCTCATCGCAGCTTCCTTTCTAAATCAAACATTCGAATCGAAAACGAAAACGATAGGCCGAGATGAGTTCTCGCGACGATTCTTCCGGGAATATTAAATAAATTCTTACGTCTAAGGTGAATATGGACTAACAAGTACCTCAAAAATCTCTTTTCTTCTTTTGAAAATTCCGGAAACCGCAATAAAAGCACACAATTTACGAACGAAAGAAAAGCACGTCCGACTCCGAGCCAGTGGCGTAGCGTGGGCGTTCACTGCTCTTTACAAGTACTGATTCCAAATAACGATGTTTCACTTCAGATTTTCAAAGAGAAACCACCAATTTTTATTATATATTTAAATTATACGAAAAAATGTATTAATTAAAGTTCAAGTTTTAATATTCATAACTTTTATTAGGTGTAAATCAGACTAAAATGATTCGTATTATTTTTCATCCCTATTGGCACTAATTCGCCGACGTAAAAAAAATTCATACACTTTTCTATTTATTATTATTTTTTTGTATTTTAAATACATTATTATTGATACACAGCTACACAGATAGAACGTTTTGTTCATAGAATTTATACTTTTTGTCGTAAATTGGATTACTAAATGATACCTGTGTGTACTGGTACAATATAAAATACCGTTCCAATAGAAAATATGGCTCTGGTGTATTTCTGATAGTAATATATGGCTCCTATGGTAACAAGGTTTGCCCACCCCTGCTATGTAACCAACACTTTAGAAATTAATGTTATTTGAATTTTAAATAAAATTTTTATTTACATGTAGCCTAAATATAATACAGAAAATTCAGATTCAGGAATATTAATCGTAATATATATTACAATTTTAAATCTTTTATTATTATACATGATATTGTATATATATATTTTTTCTTTTATAACAACATTTCATTTAAGTATTCTTCAAATTCATCATCTTTGTTCTTTTCTTCAGTATCTTTTGGCATTTCTTTCCAAATGACTGAACTGTCAGTGGTCAAATTTTGTGTTCCTGAAGTTGACTCGTGACTATCTTGCTCTTTTTCTGTTTCACTTTCTATAAAAATTTATAAAAATTCAAATAATAAAATTAATTTCACAATTTTAATATTTTAGAATTCATTATATAGTACTTTAATTTATATTATTATTACATTTTAATATATACATAATCTGCTTTTTAAAGCTAATATAAAATTGTAAAGGTAAAATTCAGATATTTTGAAAAAAAAAGTATTAAAATTAAACTCAACAACGACTACAGATCATCTTATAGACCATCAATATCAATCACATCTCGCCAACTTTGCTGCAAACTTTAAATCCCTTGAGCATAGAATGACAAGTTTTTCTTTTAAGTGTCTTGAGTATCGATCTCACGTGCATAGTTATTGAACTGTATTGTGTAACTGTGTTAACATTTTGGAATTGTTTGTAAAATTTTGCAATGAAGAATAATTTGCAGAGCATGCTGGTTCTAAATCAGTTACAGTTAGCGACTAGGGAGATTTGAATAGGAGTAACGCAAGTAATCTAGATGACAGCCCTATTGGATATTGGAGGTGTATATGAGTACGAATAAATCGTACAAGCAAAAGAAGAAAAAAAAAAAAGGTCGACAGGTTGCGCACGATATCCCCGGACGGCGAGTCGGATGATAACACTAATCCCACTATTCCGTGCTCATTTCATACGGTCCGAATCGTGGGTGAACGAAAATATGAAATAAAGTGCTTCAAATTCTAACAAGATATTATTATTATTTATTGTCAAATTTTGCCGCCCCCTACGCTACGCTACTGCTCTAAGGTCATCTTTGCTCTACGTGCTGGCACGCTGTTATGGTTGTATCAGCAAATTATCTGATGATGACCATCAGAAAATTGTCGTCCGTGGATTACCGTCTACCGGTTTCTGAAGAATGTCGTCATTAATGGTGGAATCGCTGCCTGAATGGAGTTCATATTGAATGCCTTGCAGATGAGACCGCGAGTAGGGATTGCAATCCAGCAGTGTTTTCAATCCAGCTGGATTTTTGCTGGACCAACATTAATCCAGCTGGATCCAGCGCAGATGTATTTTTGGTGCAATAAAGTGTTATCTATCTATCTATTTAGCATTTTTTTTAATCCATGCATTCACTTAAGGTGAATGGGATTCCGAGTACAATTCCTCCAAATTCGTTTACATCAAAATAGATTTCTTCTTTTTTTTATATATATATATATGTAAGCAACCCTCCCTGTTCATATTTTTCATATTAGACTGCCATTCAGACAGGGGAATATTTCGTCAGGAAGATTCGATTTTTCTTTCAATTAGTTAAATGAGTTGTCTTTCTTAGCATAAGACGGGACGACGGACGTTCCCTACTAAGTGCAGTATGTATACGTAGCAATCAATATGTTCAGACGTGTGTTTAAGCACGCAACTTAAATGATCGAATAGGTAATTGGGGCATTGTCCGAATGGTCGTAATGTCAACCTCGTTCCACAACGGGTTATTCGAATGCGGGTTAACAAAAAAAAATTACGCAAGCATCCAAATCGGAAGTACTTCTCATCCGCGACGTGACGTCACATCCGGTTTCCCTCAACCTCCACCTACGATCGAGGTGTTTTCTCGGACGGACGTCTTACTTCCTATGACTAGTTTTATGAGTCAGGAAAGAGGTGGAGCGACCCTCAAATCGCCTCTCAAATGGGATATGGTCCACTGATTTCTCAAAAAAGAAAGAAATGAAAAAAAAGGGGAGCGGGACACGAAAAGAAGAGACTCGTTTTAAGGTGTGTTTTTTACCTGAGATGGTTTACCTGGGGGGTTTCGACCGGAGGGAGAGTAAGTCGATCGAGTTATCTGTTTAAAACTTAAGTTGCATACATCGATTTTGCAATCTCCCTCGACAAAAATGCTAAAGTTTCGTAATAGACGAAAGTTGTTTAAAAGATAAAGATTTAGAGAGTAAATAAAAAAGAAATGATTGAAAATGGAAGGGATCATCGGAATTTCGAGGGGTGAAATTAATGATTTATACGAGAAGANTATATATATATATATTGCTGTTTTTAATTAATTACTGAATATTAAAATTTATTATAAGTTTTGTACACTATTTCAAATATAGCAGACCTTAAGCATGTATTCTGATATTATTCCAATAACCATGTTATATATTGGACCATTACCAATACTTTTAAATCACAGGGGTAAGTTAGTGCATTGAAAATCATTTCTGCTAATTATGGTCACAAAATAAACTTGCTTCCATAGACTGATATGAATAGAGACAATAAATTAAAAGTTAACAGAAAAAATCATTTTGCAATGCATGTTATCCTTTAGACTTTCTTTAAAAAATCAATAGTAATTCCTCACATTTTTGCTGTTGTGTTCCACAATCACCTCAGCATTTTTTAATAGACAATCTGTCCCAGATATGTCAGGCTTCATTCCTCACCATCTGACTTTTCTTATTGTGGGTCTAACTAAATCACAGTAAGCGTAGAAAAGAGACCCTATTAGTGTTCAAGAGTAGTGCTATGTTGATAATCAATATATGTTTACAACATTAATTGCCTAGATTTTAGGTACCAATATATTGAAACTGATGTAAGTGTTTAGTACTTTTTGTTTGATATATTGGTTATCAACACAGCATTAATTGTGAGAACTGCAACAATCCCTCCAAAATTAACAACATACTAGTGCAATTCTCTAATAGCTGGGAAAATTATTAAATTGAAATAAATAGGATTAATAATTATTGTTGACAATACATAGGTTATTTATCTGTGATAACAAATACTGCTATTCAACATTGTTGATAAAAGTTTGTATTTTAAAATATTGATATTGTAAACATTAGTTTGTTTTACATTTGTTATTAGCATAGCATGAAAAATAATTTTAGATATTTGAAAACTTTTGGCATTTTTCAATAACACTATAAGTAATATTAATATTTTTTTGATTTTTCTAATAACTGTACTACACTGTTTCTTTATACACAGTATATATAACTTATATATATTTTGGATTTTTGTTTTTTAATTTTATTGTCTTCATTAAATTTTTTAATAAATTTAAAAATTTTTTCATATATTAATATATTAATATATACCGTATTATTTCATAAATCATGTTTTTAAATCATGTTTTTTATTCATTGTTACTTTTTGATTTTAACCATAATTCATTGTTGAGGACTTTGTTAATTGGGGATGAATATCTTTTGTCAGCTAACAGTTCCTAACTATGTATAAAGTAAATAAATAAATAAATTGAAGTAATTTCAGTATCAAGCCAAATATCAAAATCAAAATTTTGGTTTAGCACAACCCTAACCCAGAGGGCAAAACAAAAAAAAAATTGTTACCTTAGCATCAGTCATTTGGTTTATTTGAGGTTAATATCAATAGCACTAAATTTACTCACTGTGTGGCAAATTGTGTTATGAATTGTAAGAAAAGTAGTGTATAGGTTTGCCTTAAATAATACAGAACCTCAGTTAATTAAGGATTGGATAATCAAGTGTTTTACTACATATAGAATCCATTTAGTTAAAAATATTCCAAAATTTACTGGATCACATAAATCATAAAAGACAGTATAACTAATTATTCTTCAGATATGTATTTCATTTTTAAAAATTAACTTAATTTCTGTTTTCAATGATCAACTGTTCAACTTATTAAAATTAATAATGAGAAAAGAATCATCTTATAAGTAATATTGTAAACATATTTGTTCACTTTTTGATATGAAAGGTTATTATATTTCCTTACAAAAGATAAAAAAATTTATTTAAGTGAATTTTAAATAAAATTAATATCTTTTAGTATTAACAAACATTTTCAAAAACTGATTACTTAATTTTAATATCTTATTTTTAGTTAAGTAAATATTTTAAAAAATCAGTCAATCAAAAAATAAAAAATTTATCATGTTTTTCTAATCTAACATAATTGATCATCTACAGAAAGTTTTAGTTACTGACAGAATGAATTATAAAATTTAAAGTTAGAAAATGAATTATTAACCCACATTATAAAAACGTGAATTTAGAATAATTTCAAATCATTGACATAAATACAACATATATTGGAATAAAACAAAACAGTAATAATATAAATATATTTGGCATTTTAAATTTGCATTATTTAATTTATTTTGGTAAAGTAACTGTAATTTATTATATATTTTCCAGAAAAAATTCTCAAACACTGATTTATAATACTAAATCATTTTTTAAATTGTAATTTTCTTCATTTTTAGTTTTGTATAAGCTCTAAACATGGTATATCACTTTACATATAAACAGTTTATAAAAATAATTATAAATAATTCTTATAATGAAGAGAATAACATTGTTTTAAATTTATTTCTATTGCTAAGTATTAATTAAATAAGTAACTATTTTTAATTTAAAGAGTATGATAAATACGTATTAATAAAATATGAAAAAATAGAAAAAAAACACAACCTTTCTTCTTTTTATTGAAAACTTCTTCATCAGTTTCTTTCAAGTTTCTTTTCCTTGAAACATTTTTAAATTCTTTACGCTGATGATGATAGTTTAATTTATAAGAACAAACTGGACAAAGCCCTATAAAAAAAAAACATAAATAAATACACATCTTTGTTTAAATTGTAATAAAGTTTATAATATATAGTTAAACTACTAACTCAATTTCACCAAAGCATTTTTCTTCTCTCCAAATTCTATATATCCAAAATTCATTTCCCAACTGCATAACCGCTCTTTTTCATTGCAAGTTTTTTCTCCACAAACAAACTGTCCTATAAATAAAAAATTATACATACATTCATTAAAAAACTTATATAAATTATAACAACATAAAAACTTTTTGTTAAAATATAAATAAAACAAGCTAAACATATACAAATATCGAATCCTCTAAAACGTTCTATTTAAATTATATTGAAACTTATTTCACAATTTAAAAGGTTAGATAAATACTGTAGTTAGATGAATTTTTCCATAATTATGCATCTTGATCTATTCAAAAATTATTAAAATTTCCAATTTATTCAATCAAAATGATTTTTAGTAATGGAAAGTTATAATATGCCAAATAACTACCATATAAAATCATGGCTACTTCTAGACATTTATTTTTAATTCATTTCTAAATAATTTGTCACTAGAGGCAGGCATTAGGTGCGATCTCTTATTGAATTTAATAATTATAATTAAATTAATATTTCTAATTTAGAATATTCTGAAAGAAAAGAATAGGCCCAGAGTGGGAACCACAATTCCCATTTACTGTGCTGATGCAACAACAAGCCTCCAGACCATTCTCCTTTTCCAGACATCAATATTTATAAATAATTATTAAACTTAATAAGAGATGGCACCTGATACCTGCCTCTAGTAACAAATTATTTAGAAACTAGTTAAAAAAAACTTGAGAAGTAGCCTGCAATAGTCGTTTGGCATATTACTAATATATTTGGGTTTTGATATATACTAATATATTGGGTTTTGATATATATATATATATATATATGTGTATATAGTTATTCCTTTGATCAGTTCAGATTTATGTCATTTTTGTAAAGCTAGTAGTTATTCATTACAACATTTAACTTTTCATTGTACTAAATTTTCACATATTAGAACATAATTTAATTATCCCCTTACTCTCTTCGTAGACTGCATTTGGTAACAAGGATACACTATTCAAATACCTTATAAACTGCAGCCAAATTTATTATCAATTTCAAACGTTTTCGGTCATCTTTAATGACCTTTATCAAGAACAAACGAAAATCCAGTGCTGACTGATTTGTATTAACGATAAATGGCATTTATCGTTAATACAAATCAGTCAGCATTGGCTGCACTTTATTTGAGTAGTGTATCCTTATCCCCTTACTTTTGTTAATTATGAAAATAATATTGTGAGAAACTATTTAGTTAAAGATGTATCGACTCATATGTTGTTTTCATTTTATAACTTGTTAAATAAAATTTTAACTAATTAACTTCCCCATTCCAAGGGTAACCCCTTGGAATGGGGAAGATAATTAAAAAAATTAATAAATTGATTGATTGACACATACACAAAAATTTTTTTTTTCAAGAAGAATCTAGCCATTTCTTTAAGTACTAGCACATCCTGCAATAGACATTTCAGAATCTGATTTAGTTTTTCTGGTCACATCTTGAAATGCTAACCTCATTTCTGCAGATATTGAAACAGATGTATACTTCAGCATCTGTCAACGAGGCCTAATGAGTAGAGACAAAGTGATTCAGGTTTCCACTCAACGAAACCTGTTTTTCCAAAGAGGGTCAAGTTAGCATGTGTCATCCTGAACAAGTTGAGACAGGTGTGCCAACCAAAGTGGACCTGAAGGAAAGCTACTGACCAGCTCTGGATTGGACGGCCAACAAATCTCAAAGCATCAAATTCTGCTTTTGTTCATACCTAGCATCATGCGGCATGGTCCAATGTTTGCCCCAGGGCCAGCCAAACTGCACCCAGAGATATAATGCCCAACATCAAAAGACTCATGGCTGGCTTGAGCAGCATACACTAGGAGTACTACAGATGGAAAGCTGCCTTCAAGATTTGTTCCATCAACAGGACCTGCAGTGACAACTGGTGGCGCTCATACGGAAAACCAGGAAATGGTTGGTGGATGAGCACATCATAGTCCTCAAAGCAGATAAAAACAAATATCTTATTCTATTAAAGGAAGCTACCTACAGGTCTCTCATGCAACAGTATATCGACGACACGGACTGCAAGCCCATCGAATGCAGCTACATAGACAAGCTACAGTCTTGTGTTTCTAGATTCACCCGCACTTTCTTTGCCATGAAATGGGGGTTGGGCAAAGTGGTTGTTGTCTCTCCCGACACACCGAGGTTGCTCACATTTGCCAAAACGCACAAACCGACCCCTTCACTTAGGCCTGTCTTGGATAAAACTAGGTCCCCAATGAGCTGCTCGAGAAGGCCATTCACAACATCGCCGCTGAGTGTTTGAAGGGTTATTGGTTACCACCAATTCCACTGCTTTTGTTGAGTTGTTACGACTGGTCAATGTGGGTGACAACCTGCACTTCACAGTCTTCGATTTCCTGTCCCTTTTCCCTTTGATATGGCTGCAGCCATGCTTCTGTGCCCTTAGGGACCTTCTACTTCGCGAGAATGATGCGCTCCGGCACCATCAGCAGATATTAGAGCTGGCACATCTAATGTGCTACACCTTAGTTTTCCAGTTCAACAACACTACTTACTTACAAGAGGTTGCCCATGGTCAGCCCACTATTGGCGAACCTTTGCAAGCTGGAGGAGAGAGTATTGCCCAAATTCTTACCATACATCAGTCTATACTAAAGATACGTGGACGACATCTTTATACTTTGGAAAACCACACTGAATCTTGACGATTTTTTTGTCGTGCATAAACGACAATGCTTACGGCCTCACCCTTGACTTAGATCAAGTTAGCAACTCACGTGCACATTTTCTACATATTGACATATGTCTTAGAGGTGGCAAGATAGAAATGAGCGTTTACTGTAAACCGGACCAGCTTCCCTTTTCATCCCCACAAACTCGTCCGACCCCTTTGCCTACAAAATTGCAGCCTTCTGTGCCCTTACCAGACGGGCCTTCACACACCACACAAATGCTCGTGACACCCAGTTAGAGCTTCATCGCATAGAAAAAATTGCCATTGAGTATGGCTACAGTAAAGGCATGATTCGCAGTTTAGCCTGTGCCTACACCGACCGTCCCCCATGCCACATTGGCAGCCCCCTACCTACACCAGACAGCTGCCACCAACCCGTTAAGAACGATAGATGCGCAGTTATCTGGTTCAACCAACATTTAGACCTCCTTTACAGGGAGAATGCTTGCCGTAATCGCACGAAGATTGTGTACAGGAGAACTGGCACTATTTACGACCTGCTGCGCAACACCAAGGACGCGATAGATCTCAACAGGGCCCCAGGGGTATACTCCATTCCCATCAGGGATGATAAATTCCATACAGACTTAGTTTACATTGGCTCCACCATCCACTCAACACAAAAATGGTTACACGAGTATCAATCAGATATTAAAAATAACAGGCACACCACCGCCTTGTCAGCCTACATTACCGACCCTGAAATTCAGGCGGACTTCCAAAACACCAAAGTAATCAGACAGGCGTTTCGTATTGATCACATCCGTCACCTGGAGGCCTGGGAGATTTATAAAGTCAACATTGGGGGCACCTGCATCAACTTTAAAGACGGAGAAACGATCGCACAGGTATGGAGATACTTATTCGAAGAATTCGAACTGGGACAAGCAGAGGGATGAAATGTGATACACACATTATTTACATCTTGGGTGTCATCGTTCCAATGGTCAAGAGGAGATACCATTTAGTCACCACCTGAAGCAGATTTCATAGGAGGTCGAAAACGTTTGTGAAGATTATTATAGGACACAACACTGTTATAAAAAAGGTTTTGTGGATTTTGTTACTCAATGCAGTGTTAAGATTAGTAGTCGTTTTGGTTTAGAAACAATTATGTGAATAAGCAAAAAGAGATTACTCAGATAAAATCAAAAATCTCCTTTAGAATATTCAATCTTTAACATTTTGGAATTGTTTGTAAAATCATGTTAGGGAAAACCAACAAAAGAGTTGAATAAAAGTATGAGGCACTGATATTGATAAACTGATAAATTAATATGATAAACTGTATACAGGTAACCCCCGTATAACATGGTAGTTACGTTCCAAAAAATTGCCGTGTTATGCGAATCCGTGTTATACGAAACAAAGAACTAATACGAAAAGGAGGGTTAGGTTCCAAAAATTAAAAAACATGCTAGTATATTTTCATAATTAAGATAAATGTCTTCATTAAAATTTTTTTAAGTGATACATATTAATATAAATTAAACAATGTTTTCTTCGTCATCACTAAAAACACTATTAATTAACCGAGAGCGTTTTCTTTTTGGCAAGTTATCCTTATCCTCTGAGCATTTTTCTGCATTATCTTCAGATCCATGCTTTACCTTTTGCAAAATGTATGTAATTTTAGATTGCTTGCTTCTAGTTAAAAGGTCTTTATAAATTTCCTTATATGGTGCTAAGCACTTATGAAGAATAAAGCAAGTATGGAATAAGGGAAAAACATTCGGCAACATCAGAAGCAGAAGCGTCGCGATCTGGCAACATTGAAACAAGTTTCGAGAAGGACCACGTGTATCGACAGAAGGCGAGAAGAGAAAATTTACATACTTAAGTACTAATAGTTCACGAAAATAATAATTTTCGTGAACTATTATTACTTAAGTATGTAAAAATTTATTACATTTCCTGTTGTACGAGGGTTTTACCCAATTCTCGAACCGTGTCAGAGTGAATCCGTGCTATAAAAGTACCGTGTTATACAGGGGATGGTACCAATTCTCGAACCGTGTTAGAGCGAATTCGTGCTATAGAAGTGCCGTGTTATATAGGGTTACCTGTATATATTTTCAGGATTTGTATCTATACAAATACTGAAGTAAGATTCTGGAAGTGAGACAAATCATAATTTATGTTTTGGATACTGATAAATACAAGCTAAACTTTTAAAATCTTAACCTAGATTCTAGGTAATAAAGCTTTTAGTAGATTAACGAAAACATTTTTAATGATTCATTTAAACTGAAATTCAATAAATTTAAAGTTTATAAATGGTGATGAATATTCTTTATGAAAAGCCTTCTACATCTAATCAAATAATCCATTATAATTAATTAGAATCATTTAGTAATTTTAAAAATTGGAAATCATAGTTCTATAAAGTAATTAAATATTAAAAGCAAAACAAAAGAAAATATTTAAAATTGATCTTTCAAATATACCTTTTCCATCAATAACTTCTTTTTCTATTCTCCATCGTAAAGCAATCTTTAGGGGGGGGAAAAAACTTATTATTCAATGAAAATGTAAAATTATTTAACATTATATCAAAGTTAATTAATGTTTTCATAACTTCCAATTATTTGATTAATTTTTTACAAAATTTTATTGGTATTTAAAATGTATTCACAAACGACAATATTAAATTTTTTGTCAGTTAAATGATTTATTAAATATATTATGAAATATACTTTCAACTTATTTTTCATCATTCCAAACTTATATTCATTTATTTGCCAACTGAATTAATCAAAGTGCCTTTCAAAATAAACATAATGAAAATACCAAAAAAATTAAATTTAGTTTAAAATATAAAGTATATTTCTTTCTAAAATATATTTAAGTTCTTTTCAATTATTTTACAAGAATCAGAGTAATCAAATATCACAATGTTAAACATAATTTGAACAGGTTCAAAATTTAAATAGCAACTAAAACTCTAAAACTACTTGCAAAATATGTAAAACAATTTAAAATATTTAAATTTATATTTAATTAAATCAGTTACAATATTTTAATATAAATATTAACTTTTAAAACAAAAAGTACATTATTATATAATACCAAATTTCAGACAGATGTAATTAGGGATTGGAATCCAGCAGTGTTTTCAATCCAGCTGGATTTTTGCTGGACTAATATCATTCCAGCTGGATCCAGCGCAGATGTATTTTTGGTGCAATGAAGTGTTATATATTTATCTATCTATCCAAAAATTTATGAGTTTTTTTTTAAAGAAATAAAACATTTTTTTAAAATATTTAAGAAACTTTTATTATCTAGACTGGTCACTATAAATCAGTAAAACTTCTTACACATTTAGGTAGTAAACTTAACTTTGGTTCGGTTTAACATTTGAGATAGAGATAATTAACTTTAAATGTTTAGTTAAATTATAATTATAATGTAATCTTTAAGTTAAATAATAGCAAAGGTAATTCTACTAATTAATTTATATTAATATATTATATTATAATAATGTAAGGACGGATAATCAGTGGCTAATTGGCTATCAGTCTTACTAGTTTTCTTATATAGGCTCTACATATCAGTCTTTAGTTATTTATAAGTAATTTAATTATTAGTATTAGTAAAGTAGTGAGTAAGTAATTAGTAGTAGTTATTATTATCACAATCATGAATCATATATATTCATATCATATATCTAAGATACTGATACTCATTAATTTAATTAACTATTTAACTAACTAGGTTTTCATATTTTTCATCACCTGGCGCATTACATTTTTTTTGGCATTGTGAAAGAATAATTGGTCTTTCTAACTTTTTGGTCATACTTCTTCAGGTTCTGTATGTAAATCAGCATCCCTGTGACCTCAGTAAGACGCCATTCTCTGATTCTTTTGCGATTGTGTCCTGGCTTTTTAGTTTGTCTAAGACAAATTTCAGGGTTGTGTCAGCAGTTATCAAACTCGACTCTCTTCTACAGAAAGCTTCTACGGTTTTATACAGTTTTATATTTTGATGGGCTTCCCATTCCTTAAAGGCATAGTACTAGCCGACCGCGAGCGATAGCAAGCATGTCAACATCAATATCTACCGGACTGCCTGTTAAACACACGATAGGTTTAGCGGAGAGAGCGACGCAACTCCCAATCATCGTGCAATTGCGGAAAAAAGTTTGAAAACTTTCTTATTTTTTGTCTTTGGTAAAATATTGATTGAGCTGAAATAAAAAGTTTTCTATTAACTAGTGACAGTAATCTCCTGGAGGGATAGGTTAAGTTTTGTGGACAAGCCATGAGGCTGCAGCTCCCCATAGGCTTAAACTGTGATTGTTCTGTCACGTAATTCATTGACATTACAACCGACCATATATTAGAATTATGCACCAGAACTAGGAGAGGAGTTGCTTATTTCATTTAGCGCAAAGACACTTTATTTAGCGAGAGCAGAAAGTCAACTGGCAATTAGATCAGTGGAGGTAAAAGGATGGGTGGTGCGGTGTAGAGAGGGTTGTAGCACATGCCACACTGAATGGCAATGTCGCTCTCGCCGCCAAGCGATAGCGCACATAGCAAAGCAGCAATGCCGACAATGTAGACTTTTGTGCCATTATTTAAAAAGTTAATTGAGTATTTGCGGATCCAGCAATTGCAATCCCTAGATGTAATGGTGATATATTACAAGAATTATGTAATTTAAGTAAAATTGATTATGTTAAAAGTAAGGTTTCAACATTAGGTAGTGAATTTATAAGTTTAGTTCCTTACCATTCTGGCACAAAACCTTCATGTATCATTAGTTTTGTTATTGACATAACTAAAATCCTTTCCTTAATAATATTTTTGTTGCTCCAACAAAATATAGACCATTTTTTCTTATTTTTAACATGTTATTTTAAATATTCCTGATTTTCATTTATATACAGATTCCTATTTTTTATATACAGTTTATACAATGTAAGCAAAGAAAATATCAATAGATTAAATAGAACTTTATTAATTATTTTTAATAATTTATGTTAATCATCCTACAGAAATAATAGGAATAGAAAATTTTAAGTCATTTCTTAATGATATTAATTTAGATTAGTGATTATTTAGATTAGATTATAATGAGAAAAATATTCAAATATTTATAATATTGGAAAAAATGGTACATTAACCAAAATATTTTTAATGACTCATCAAAAGTCAATAAATTAAAGTATATAGATAACAATAATTATTCCTAATAAAATGTATTCTACATCAAATAAAATAATCCACAAATAACTAGATTAGAATGTTTTAGTAAATTGCCAGTTTTAATACTATAACTATTACGACAACTATGGTATGAGGTTATTTAAATTAATAAAAAGTTTGGATTAGTACAGTTATAAATGCAAAAGGACTATAATACAAGAAATATAATTACATTTCTTGTACATTAATCACTACACAGTAAAACGTCTAAATCTTGAATTTGAAGGGAACAAAAAGTTTCTAGTTTGATTTATGAAAAGCTTTACATTTGGAGGTATAAGAAAAATGGAAAAATTTTATTCAGATGCAAAGCAGTAGAACAAGGAATGCAATTCTGCAATATATCAATGACATTTATATTAATATTATTAGAACAATACATGAGACTGTAATGATTTAAATAAATACCATGAATTTAGTTATATCACAAAATTATATCTCTATGCTACACTAAAATTATTCAAAAATGAAGTTTTACCTAATACATTATATAAATCATCTATAGAAAAATATCTACAAGAAAATTTAGGTGATTCACAAATAGACCTTTATTAATGTAAGAGACTTCATAAGTCCATAGAGTACTGAAGACAAATTCAAGATGATTGTCATGAATGAAGAACTCTGCACTGAATAGAAATATGACTTATGAAAAAATCAATCTTCTCCAAAGGAAATTAAAAACCAAAACACTAAAATAAACTTTAGCTACTGCAGTTTCCATTCTCCATCTGTTATGACTTAGCTGCTAATATTTTTGCCAGACACAGAACATAACTTTTGAGCCACTTGACAATGCTACAGGAAAGTTAGATTTACCAGATAAATTTTCTGCTAAATTAGCAATTCTGATGTCATTGATTTACCTATCCAGCTATATTAAAGTTGCTTAGAGTAAGCAGCATCTTGAAAGTATTGCAAAACTTAATAGGTTGGTTGGTACCTGCTAAATTTGACTAGTTTGACTTAAGAAAACAATGTTGAGATACATGAAATTTTTTGACTTCAGGAAAGTTTCAAGAAAGAGAGAATTTGATATTAGACATGTTACTGTATATATAATAGTTACAACTACATATTTGTCTGAATAATATTTTATACTAATTTAAGTGAACATTGTAATCAAACAATTAAAACAAAATTTTTTATTCTTACAATTATTACAGAATAAAATAATTAACTTAAGACTTATAAGAAAAATATTATTTACTTTATTTTCTTTGTAACGGCTAAGATCTGCTATGCAATATTCTTTGAACAACTTGTCATAATACTTTTTTGCTAATTTTCTATCCCTAAAACAAATATAGCAACAATTATCTTAAATGTAAAAACTTCACAAAATAGAATAAAAATGAAATTTAATTTTACAGTAGAGTCCCAAAAACTCAGCACTCAATAACCCGGCAGTCCGGATAACTCGGCCATATCCTGACAGGGCGAAAAAATCCCTAGTTAATTTTCATTATAGACAGCTTTATGCCTCAAAGTATTTTTCTGAGATCTGTCTTATCAGGTAAATTACTGTACACTGTGTATTCATTAATTGTTATTTTCATGTAGTAAAGGCTCTATGCCTTCATAAAGTATGTACTTTTCCTTTGTTTAAGGGTATTTGGGCAGTTTATTCTCTGTTGTATTCTCAAGCAAACAATACATACAAGTACAATACAGTATTTTCTGAGGAAATACTCGTACTTATTCTTTTTTAACCCCATTCCCGATAACTCGGCATTTTCACAAATTCGGCCACCCTTCGGTCCACATTAGGCTGAGTTTTCGGGGCTCTACTGTATTATAATAATTTATTACGTTTATAACATATTTGAAACTGATTTTATAGAAATTAAAAGTATAAAATTATTAAATATAATGCTGTCAATTAAAACAAATTACTGTAATTTACCAAGAATCTGCACTGTCATCAGGGTCCCATAAAAATTGGTGATTTTCTCGTATTATATCAAAATCAGTCTTTCCAGATCGCCTAAAAAGTACATTATGTAAAAATTGAAAATAAAATAAAAACAAAGTCTAAATAAAGTTTAGTGATATTTAATAATAAGCAACATACCTATGCTTAGTCAATTTTTTTGTACTTCCAGAATAATAAAGGAAATAATGATTTATCAGTTCTTTGTGTCTAGAATACTTATATTTAAGAAAAATTACTTTTCAATTAATGATTATGTATAGGTTATAATTATTTCAGGCACAATCTAAATATGTAATTTGAGGTTTTAATCATTGCAATTAGTTTACATTTAAACACACAGTTTAAACACACTTAACATTTAAACTAATTTAATGTATAAGAATTTTTCGATTAATTATATACCTGTATTTAAAAGAAACTTATTTAATTCCATTATAAGTTGGACAAAATGATTAACGTTATGAGTGGAAAAAGCAAATTAATTTAATTCTAAATTTAAGAAACTTGAATTTGCCTAAATCAAAATTAATTATGCTGGCTTTCATCTTCCATTATTCTATTGACTGAATTTTATTTAAGGAATAAGGCTGAAACTATCACCAAATTATGAAGTGATCTTAGAGGAACAAGCAAATATGCAGTGTCTACAGAATCTCATAATAGTAAATTAAAACATATAAAATTACATTCAAAGTTATATTCTTCTATAAAAGTCAGACAAAAAAGACATGCACACTAGAGTTTAATAAATTAACTATTTAATTAATAAAATTCAAATAACCAAACAAATTTATTTTTTCAAATTCTATTCAGTTAACTGCTTTCTCAGAAATCTAATTGTATATTCTGTTTAGCAGAGAGCTGAAAGTTAATTGGGAGCTAGTGAGAGGTATGGAGTAGCATGTGTTTACAGTATGTCATATAAGAATCTGATTTGCATTTTCTCTCACTGTTATTCTAAAAATGGACTAAAAAGTTTGAAAGTACTGAAGATTTAATAGAAATTTTTTATATATTGATCTCCAAGAAAGAATCTAACTATACATGTACAAAATTCAAAATTAGTGTGAAATATAATTATTTTCTCTCTGGAAAAAAATACTGTCATTATATTCCATTGAATCTTGTTAAAAAATTCCAAAATTATCTAAAATCATTATGTAATTTTATATACTAGAANAAATATATGTTATATTTTCTGAGTAATATATCATTATAAATATCAAAATACAATATAATCCTAATTTATGAGTGTATTTTCAATTTACCTCTTGTAAATTGAAATCATGCAAACCAGAGTGAGCTTTCCTATTTTTTCTTAGTCAAAATTTGTACCTCCTTTCAGCATAACCTCACACATCTTATCCATGTTTTTGAAACAATATTAAATTGCTAAAAAACACATTTACCTTTCAACCAATAATACCAAATAAGATGAAAATAAATGAAAGTGTTGATTAAATTATTCACCAACATAAAAAATAGCTAATATGAAATGAGTGAAACAAACACGAACAAGTATGACATACCAGTTTCATTCAAATAATAATATGGTTAAACGGCACGCAACTGTTACTATAACAAATTCCAATTTCAAATTGAGCTACCTCTACTAACTCTGACTAATAGAGATGAAGGTCAACCAAGTTAATGAAAGTCCAATTTAGCAGGATGTTTTCTCCAACAAAGTGAAAAACAAGAAGGTGGATATACAGTATAGTACAGATAACCCCCATATAACACGGTAGTTACGTTCCAAAAAATTGCTGTGTTATGCGAATCAAAGAACTAGTACGAAAAGGAGGGTTAGGTTCCAAAAATTAAAAAAACATGCTACTATATTTTCATATATCTTGAGATAAATATCTTTATTAAAATTTTCTTAAGTGATACATATTAATATAAATTAAACAATGTTTTCTTTGTCATCACTTACAAGGGAGGATTTTCTCATGTCAGTCTTATATTTCAATAAAATATACATGTATATAAGAAAAAATAATAAAACCCATTCTTTTATCTGTCAGGTCAGCCATTTGTGAGAAATAGGGTTCTAAAATGTTCTAAAGTAATTCATATAGAAATATGATGACTGTTTACTGGTTAACCCCTAGATTCTCACAATAGATTGAATAAATCCATCTCAGATACCATATAGAAAACCACACATATTTGGTACTATTTATATTCTTACATAATTTATGTTGATATTGTTTATTTTTAACATTTTTTCACTTACAAGTACAGTAAAATCTCAATTTAATAAACAAAATTTCCAGTCCATATGCCATATGTGAAAATTAATACCCTGTTCATTTTAAAATGCTTTTTATATGCAATTTAATTAACAGGTTTTATTTTCAAATCCAACAGTCACTATACCTAACTTCCTGCTTAAATGGGAGTATGTCACTATATCATCCAAAGACGATAGGAAATTTTTTTGTTTTTGTCAAATTTAAATTTTGTTTTCTTTTTAAGAACATTATTTATTTGTTTGCTTAAATACAATTAAAGTGTATTTTACAAAACATGTTTGTTTATTTATTTTGAGTTAGATCATTTACTTGTTTATTACAGTCTCAGAACTAGTCAGTATATAAGTAATAATATATGTAGAAAACTTTTCTGTGAAAGTTAACTTCTCATGCATACTTAATTAACTTTTAATCATAAATGTATTAAAAAAAAATAAAAACAGATAAACTAACTAATTTGTCAATTTTTTAATAGACACATTCAGAAAACACACTTTATTTCAGAGACATAACTGATTTCTTGATCCTTAATCTCTTTCTTCTGGTTTGCTGTACTTGCTGGAGCTTGATTATCAGTTTTAAATCCATAGTAAGATATTCTTGAATTATGAGACAATGCTCAATAACATATGATTCCATTCAATATGTAAAAAGATCATACAATAATAAGAGACTAATTAATTATACAATTAATTGATAGGTATTTCTAGTTTTATTCTAATAAACAATACAAAATCCAATTTATATGCTGTGATACCTTGGGATATATATGACCTCAAACTATAAAACCATAAAATATCTTAAACAAAAAGATGCAAGTCTCCTTAATTAGTGTGTATGTATATATATACACATACACAAGTGGCAAAAGAAAATACATAAAACAATAAATCTGGAAAATTAACCATTTTCGTGTTATAGCACTTTAAAAATGTGTGTGGGTTCAAAACTTCATGACCCCTAACATGGGTTAATTATTTAAAATGTCTTATTAGATAGAAATAACAAAGTACTGTACATTATGACATTTTTAATATATTTATTATATTTTTATTTAACAAATAAATTATCAAAAATAAATTGGAAAAAATATTAAATTAAAAATTTGTGAAAAAAGTAGACATGATATACAATCATTCAATATTGTCAGAATTTATTAATCACTTAAAAATAGACTAAGACAAAACCTTTCTCACTTTGTTTCTAGCCATTTAAACACTGAGTACAAATGTTTTTGGCCTTTTTAAAAGGCCATCTTCAGGTACACTGAGGTTGCTTGGCAGATCTGCCAACCAACATTCCAACTGACCTCAGTGTACCTGAAGAAGGCCTTTTTGTTTGTACTCAGTGTTTAAATGGCTAGAAACAAAGTGAGAAAGGTTTTGTCTTAGTCTTTTTAAATAGTTCTAGCTCCAAATGCATAGAAGCTCTTAAAAATATGTATACATTCAGGAATAAAATAAAAGATCAATTAAAGATTTATGAAATTTAAATTAAGTAATTTATAATTTAAAGGATACAGCATCCATCGCAAGAATTTTATTCCTCAAGGTTAGAGACCTACAAAAGAAAAAAAATTATATGTATAGAAATTTTATTAATTGCTGTTTAAATAATACTATTGCAACAATTCAAGATATATTTATTCCAAATTCTGTTTATCCTAAAAAAAAAAAAAAAAAAAAAAAAATCAACAGTAGGAAGCAAATTTAAGCTAATTCTTAGATTAATAATTATAAATTAATTCTGAATTCTAATTAAAGAGTTGATTAATTATTAAACTATAGAAGATTCAACTATTGAGAAATGCTTAATATTAAAATGCTTAATAGTAAAATGCTCCAAAAATATCTTAAAAATTGCATTAATCTCTTGAATTTCTAACATTTTCAACCATATTTAACTGACCTCCTTTGAATGCAACCATAAGTTTTGTAAGTTTATCCTGAAGAAATTTGTTTAAATATGGCTGAAAACATTAGAAATTCAAGTGATTAATGTAANTTCTGCATTATTTTCAGATTCATGCTTTACCTTTTGCAAAAAGTGTATGTAATTTTAGATTGCTTGCTTCTAGTTAAAAGATCTTTATAAATTTCCTTATATGGTGCTAAGCACTTATGAAGAATAAAGCAAGTATGGAATAAGGGAAAAACATCTGGCAACATCAGAAGCAGAAGCGTCGCGATCTGGCAACATTGAAACAATTTTCGCGACAAACCATGTGTATGGAGATGAAAAAAGAAAATTTACACACTGAAGTACTAATAGTTCACGAAAATAATAATTTTCGTGAGCTATTAGTACTTAAGTATGTAAAAATTTATTACATTTCATGTTGTACGAGGGTTTTACCCATTTCTCAAACTGTGTCAGAGTGAATCCATGTTATAAAAGTACTGTGTTATAAAAGTACCATGCTATACGGGGGATGGTACCAATTCTCGAACCGTGTTAGAGTGAATCCGTGCTATAGAAGTGCCGTGTTATACGGGGGATGGTACCAATTCTCGAACCGTGTTAGAGTGAATCCGTGCTATAGAAGTGCCGTGTTATATGGGGATTACCTGTAATTTATTACAATCAGCTCTGCACAGAAGTTTTTACTGAATTTTATAGGTGATACTGTTGAATTTATTAATATTGAAAATGGCTGAAAAAAAATTTCATACAATATAATATACAGCAACGTACAGTCTTTAGTAACATAGTGACTACAATAATGTATTATATAGTATCATATAGACTTCCAGATTTTGAAGAGTAATTATAATTACTCATTAATTGTGAAGAAATCTTAAAATACTGTAAAATTTTTTGAAAAAATTTGTCTGCTTTATCAGCAGTCTCAGTAAAATAAATTAAGGTAATAAATTTAACTTTTACATTTATGTTATTAAATACAGTTTTTGTGTTTATGATATGTCAGTTTCAACAATATAATTTAACCTTAGAACACAAAACTTTGTCAGTTTTATGATGCAAGTTTTTGTCAATTCTTATTTTTCTCCTTGTTTTTCACTGTCTTGCTGTTGTTATTAGTACCTTTCTACACCATTGCCAAGATTATCATAACAAGTACAGATTCTTGGAATTGATTTTGTTTATGAATAATTGAAACTGTCATGATCAATTTTACAAAGCTTTGTGACTGTGTGTGGTGCCTCAAATAAGGATAGACAAGTTTATATTTTGTGTGTATGCGAATTTTGTCTTTATGTGGCATTATTCACATAGATTCTTTTTTATTCTTTACTTTTATTCTCTGTCTGCTTCAGAAAATGCATATACTGTATACTTATTCCTCAAAATATAATTATTAGAGAAATAATAATTATTGCCTTTCTGCATAACCCACTAGTTGATCATCTCGTCTCATTCAAAGCAGAAATATTATTCATTTTATTTGGTCGCCCGTCGACACGCAAAGGAAACGAAAAGAAACAATTCATTCATCTATCTAATCAAAGAGCTAACCTAACCACAGCTGAAGAATTTGCTAGAATCATACACTTTGCAGATACAATTGCACCTCTTCATAAAAAATGTTTTACAGAGAAATCTCGCTATTCCCAAAGACAATCTAACATTCGAAAACTAAATAACAATTCGACACATCTACCATTCGAAAAAACAAACTATTTTACCACTACATATCGCAGCTGGTGCGATCACACACACGGCAAAGCACGTCACACACATCAACGCATTAATTGCCACAAATAAATTTCATAATAATAATTTAATGTCTGAAATTATATCAAAACAAGTATATTTCATCATATATTCGTTATATTACTGTCAGCAGTATTCTGACACAAAACTAATGATTAATAAAATAAAGTCGTAAAATTTGTCCTTTGTGATCCAGGGTTAAATTCGCATTCATTGTATACAATCTGTATCTCTGCCATACAGTATATATATAAAATAAATACAATGTGTATAAAATGTCTGTATTATGTATCGTTGTATTAATATTCTTGTCTTCTAACTCTTTAAAAAGTAAATAATCAGTTAATTAATATACTTTTTGACGGTAATAGCAACAAATGACCAATATTAGGAGAGGTAAAATTGACATATTATTAGCACGTTGGTGAAATATACAACCATTTTACATATAAACAGCAACTCTTAAATTTTCTCACCTATTAATTTTATCGCTGTTTGACGGCTCCATGAAGACAGATTAGGGATGACTTCGATTATTATTTCAACATCAAAAATAAAAAATTCATTGAAACGTCTATGTACTTATTTTCAATATTTTACCGTCATTTCAACCGAAAGATGGCGATAATGACAAATCACGTGGTCTGTCTCTTCCATGTTTTTAAACGTCGGTCCTAAATTATTATTTCCGATCCATTCAACCGCTATTTTTCGAATTGTGAGGTAAAAAATTAATTTATTTAATATTAATTAATAATAATATATAATTTTTTAAAAGTATAAGTATACAATTATGAAAATTTAATGGTTTCCGGATTTTCGCATTATTCCAGTGATGCAGACCTTACATATTTGACATAAAGAATTAACGTGCATATTTTTTTTCAAATAAATTATACTGTTTGTTTAGTTATTTCAGTTTTGTTAATCTTTCTTCTCACAATACGTTTAAATGTATTAAGTTCTTTCATAAAAGACAATATTCGTACTATACGCGTATGGTTAAAATATCTTCAATTATACGATGTAACAACGTCATTTCGTTATTCTCTCAACAAAGAATCCCGATAAATTAAGTAGAAGTTACTTTTAGGTGTTTTGTTTATATAAATCAATATAAATAAATGAGCTAAAAATAACTTCTATTAATAACTCCAAAAATAGAAAAATTGCTTAAATAAATACAGTTGACCCCCCATAACACTGTTGATTTTTTTATTTTATATGAATTCCATGTTGAACGAGTCACTTAGATTTTACAAATACGTGAGCCGTTCACATCCTGGCACATGTATTTGTAAAATCTAAACGACTCGTACAACATGGAATTCATATAAAACAGAAAAATCAACAGTGTTATAGGGGGTCGACTGAAATAATCTTTTGATTCACAAATAAAATAATATATTTTATAAATGTTGGATTAATCAATAATTCACTGTGACAAAAAATTTTTCTATATTGTGAACATATTACAAATTTAATAATAATGAATTAATCAGAAAATACATTATTTTGTGAATGTTATATGTACTGTACAGTGACCTATGCCATGCCCATTACTTCAGTGCACTGTCCTTTAGATTTTTTTTTTTTCTAAAATGACTATTTTGTCTTTTATTTTGTGAATTGAAATGGTAAATTGAATATCTGTTCCCACAAATGGCACCCATATTCAATTTACAAAATTTTATTTTATGCAGTTTATAAATTTTGCCAAACCTGCATTGATTATCTAAATAGTTGGGATGGATCTTTCGTGGAAATGAAAGTATTCGAATGCAGAGCTGTGCCTTGCTATGATACAGAGAATCGGCCGCATCGGGTGGCACCGCAAGGGGGCGGCATTTCGAAAACTTGCATCGTACTGAGAAAATCTACCGCACGGCCCTGTTTGAATGGGTCCTTACGAGAAACCTCTCTGCAGGGCAGGGAAGCTTGAGGAAGATGTTTTATTTTCTTCCTGTTCCTGGAACTACTAAAGTATAAATGTATTTGATGAAGTTTTGTGTATTAAAAGTTATATTGCCAGTGAAAAGATCTAATGTCAACAAAATGATAAATCCCAACTTAGATGAGTTGAAATTTTTAAATATAGTTGAACCTTGATACTCGTGGAAATGAGAAAAAAAAATTTGAGATAAACAGGTTTTGAGATGTAGAAGATTTTACATAGTAAACAGTAATAGGTTTGATTAGAAGTACAGTATTATATTAATACAATAGCAAGTACAGTACATATCTGTATTAGGTATAAATAAAACATTTTTGACATATTAACAGAAATAGTTTGTCAATAGTTTCTGATACCTGACTTTCTTCAACCAATAAGATGCAAGCCAAACTTGTAGCCAATCAGAGAAAAGAGCATTAATTGCAACTATATACTGTATTGCAAAGAGATATTTTGTAACTGCATTTTATTCTATCAAAATGTAGTTGCTGAACTTTGAATTTGTAATTGACACTTTGGTCTATAATTTGAGATATAGAGGTATTGGGAGAAAATTATTTGAAATAAACATGGAAAATATATTGAATTTATGCTGAAGATGCAAGGGGAAAAATATCATATTTACTCGCATATAAGACGACCTCGCATATAGGATGAGGTGTGACTTTAAGGATAAAAAAAAAAAAATAAAATTAGATTTATTAATACAATTCTAATTTTATTTCATTTAATCACAAGTAAAATATTATCAAATGAACATAAATGCACACATTGTCCTGCAAAAGTTACTGGCATTTTAAACTTTAAGGAAAAATCTTGTAAAATTGACAACATAATTTGTTCATGTAAAGCTGGACAATTGGAAATCTTTTTTTGCTAATTCTTAACAGTCAAATCCACTCTTTGTCAATTACACTTACGAGTTTCTCTGAATTATGAATTCCGAATAATTATGTGTTTTCACATAGGAACGGATTAAAACTTATATCAGGCTCCCATGTGATTTTGGAATTTCAATCTGGAATTCAATTCAACAGTTTTGCTTTCCCTATTGCTATTCATCTTTACTCTTGACAATATACAAGAATGATTCAAATGACCCAGATATAAAATACTTATGTTTTTACAAGAGAGTAAGCATTCAGGAAAAAATGCGAATATACAGTTCACAAAAAGTTTTTGCATTTTTGCAAAGAATCTTTCACTCGCACGTATAGGATGTCCTAGGAATTTGAGGCTGCAGTAAATGAATAAAAACCTCATCTTATATGTGAGTAAATGTGGTAAATTTAAAGACAAGTTTTTGAGATAAGCATATTTAAGATAGACAGGTTTAACTATATTTTACAGAGAAACACATATCTTTTAACCATTTTAAGAAGTATTGAATTTTGCTTATACTTCTCTGTATCTAATCCCTCCATCAAATGATTATTTTCATTAGTGAATAATATGTGGATCAGTGAGAGAACCCAATTAAAAATTCAAACATTGGAAACAATCATTTATACGAAGTGCAACTTTGCCATAAATTGTATATAGTTTTATGAATTTTTAAAACATAAATCTGATTTGTTAGAAAAAAGTTCATTCTTATGAATAGTATCAATTTTTAAAATTTTTTAAAATAATGAAGTGATTATTTAAAATGCTATGTATATGCTTATATTTTATAATAAATCTTACAAAGTGTTTTAGTGAAAAAAAATAACATAAAGTGCTATTTTTATTATGAAATAATTTTTGATTTGTCCTTTATTTTCTTCAAAATAAAAAATGTGTGTCACCATATTTATATGCTGTTTATGATTCACAATATAGAAATTGAAAAATTTTATTTCAGAAAACATCTGATCATTGTATGAATGTTTAAATTTGTTAGTGCTAATGTTTTTGCCTTTAAAGATGAAAATATTCACAATGAATATGGCTTGAAATTTTACACAAATGAAAATATGGGTTTAATTTCTAGTAACATGTATTTTTTTAATAATAATTTTTTTTTCAATGGGGTTGGTTGTTTAAATTATATACTATTTTTTGTTTGTTTTTTTAAATGAATACTGTGTTTTAATATACAAACAGTATAAATTATTGAATAATGCCTTTTATTTAAAATTATAACATGTGAATTTATCAGATTGCATTAAATGAGTATATCTGTATGATCCCTCTTGCCTGCTATTTGTCCCTTCTGTAAAATGGACTTGATGAGATGTATGTATGTATGTATGTGATTTAAGGTTTATCTTGAAAATATACAAAATTTGAAATTACAATAGTAATTGAGAAACAAAACTGCTCACATGCTTGAAATGTAACAAATTAATAAGATTTCACAAATTTCACTCCTAGAATAAACATTTTTGTTTTTGATTGTTATATTGGAAAATATATTAATATTATCATGGTAGTTTCATGAAAACAGGTTTTACACAGCATTCAAAACTGCTTCTATCAATTTTATCAAAATCTAAATTAAACAAAGAGTAAGCACTTTGCTAATTACTTGATGGTTAAGTAAGCATTTTTAAATTCTTCAATATTTTAAAATTAGTATCAAAATATAATTTGTAAGAAATTGTTAATAAATTAATAATTTTTAACTATGATTATATCTTTCCATGAACATTACATTGTTATAAAGAAATTCTATATGAAGACAAATCATTTATTAACTAACTAAATAAATGGATTTGTTACATATGTTCCCATTATATATAGGCGCATAGATACAAATACATCAAGAAAGAAATAATAAAATTTAATTAGTTCGGTAGTGCAGATGATTCAAATAAGAAATTAGTATTTATTGTGAAAATAATTATCCAATAGTAACAATAGAGTTTAAACATTTGCTTAGAAATATTTTTGCAAGTAATATTTGAATTTTTTTGCTTGATATAATAAATTTTATATAAGTGGACTCTATCATCTTGCCAGTAGTGGGAGGGTCCCAGGTTTAAAAATTTATAAACTTTTTAACCTGTTTTATAATGATCATCTGTAAAATCAGATTTATAAACACTAATCCATATGGTCTAATACTCAAGTTAGACTTAATAGAGTGATACATCAGTGCACTTCTTAGATATAAACATCAAGTTAAAACAGGGAAAGCCAAGTTTTATTATGAATCAGGTTATGTGCCTTTCATCATATAGACTAAAATGATCCATTCACATACAGAGTAGCTGCATTCCATGAATTAGTAAAATGAGCATTCGCACATTGTACCAATAGAATTGACACACATCAAAAAATAGCCACAAGTCATGGGTATCCAGCATCACTCAAACAGCATTTAACTCAAAGATGTATAGATAATGGAGATTAACCCCAACCTAACACTAATGTACAACAAAGCACTCCAGTGGATCAAAGATTCAAAATTGATCAAAGAGGTGAGACAAGAATTTTAGAATTGTTTGAAATTTATAAAGCAACATTAGACAAGATCTGTATAAACTGCAAGGATTGTGACTCATTGTTGATTGCATAGAGGTTATATTACGACAATCTGTGAAAGAATGCACAAAACTGAAACTAAATATAACAGTGCTCAAAACATCATCTCCCAATTTTTATTTATATATAAAATAAATTATTATTTCAGATATAAATTGATTTAGTTATATTTAAAAAATTTTTGTAAAATTCCAAAATTTAAAAATCATTCTAAATGAATTTTCAACATTCTGATATTCCTGATATACGAAGGCTATTTTTTAAATAAGGTCCGTTTTTTAATGAGAAGAAAATACTGTAA